CACAGTGACACACGTCCAAAAGCTCTCCCCTATGAAGGTGCTTCGGACAACGTTCGTGTTGTGACTGCCAAATAAAGTCCAGAGGTTTCAGAATCATTTGTCAACACCAAAGACAACCTTACCAAGAACCGGTGCTTTTATCTCAGAGGTCACTCCTCTGATCCATGGGTTTATTACCTAGAACACCAATTAATCTTGCTGTCTTCACAAGATAAACTAGGCCTAGCCAAGATATGGTGTGGCCATGATCCACATCCTCGCTGGGGCAACCCTGCTGGGTGGTGGAAGAGGTTTGCTGATTCTACATCAAGGGACCTGGTCCCCATCTGGGCCATATAGCTGACTTATCCTCAGTTCCATGGGCAAGCACGGTCCTTCCCTCTCCAGGTTGAGGCTGCCTCACTACAAAATAATGAGATTTCAGCAGACGATCTGTAACCTCTTTCCCCTTACAAAAATTCCACAATTATAAGAATCTCTAGTTCCTCAACAGGTAATAAGAAAAAGGAGTTTTGGTGTTAAAATGTCACATTTTCCATTACATACGTTTTGATGTGCATATGAATATTGTATTGGGTGAGTTTCGTGTATATGTGCATATATATGTACATATATGTGTGCGCCTATATACATATTTGATGAGTGCACATACTGACTGATACCATTAGGTATTTATATGGGACTAATTGCTTCCAACTCAAAGCAGCAAATTTTCAATTCTGCAACAGATGTCGCTGTGTGATTTCTCCTTTCTATGCTGGATTTTCAGTTAAAAACGCCCAGCGTAATGGTCAGTACTATTCTTCCCAAGAAAGAGATGCAGCATTTGAATCCTTAGGATTTATTTCTTACAAATTTTCTTTATAAGCTGGTAAATTTCCATTCAAATCATAGCATAGATTAGTTTGGCCCAATTTAACAGATCTCCCACATTAAAATAGGCCTTTTGTGCACATACACGCGTGCACACACACACACACACACACACACACACACACACACACCCATTTTTTAAATGTAAATTCTAAGTGGCCGATTAGGCATTAAAATGTCACATACAAAAACCCAGAGAATGAGACAGTTTCTATTCACAGCAATACTATCAATTTTTTAAAGCCTGAAAATCATTCAGCAATGCAGGCCAAGGAATTATAAAAATTCATTTATGTCTGAGGCCAAAATGTACCAGGTGTGGGCAAAAGTCACGAATAACTCCAAGAGCACCATTAGTGATAATGAAAATTTTGGATTTCAGTTGTTATAGCATTTCTTTAAAAATAAATAGTAAGACTAGTATTATAGTTTGCAAGATATCTTACCTATCTGACATTCTCTATCAACCACTGCTTGACACATGTCACAAAAAAGTGACATCTCTTTCAACCAGTAGGTCCTCCAATAACCATGAGTCTCAACAGGTAGCTAGCACAGTCTTCTGTCGAAATTCAGAGCTAGGAGAAAGCATTTCAAAGCCTGCCTTTCAGACCCAGGAACCTGTTACCTTCTGGGCTTTTAGAGGGAGTAGAGCGAGATGAGCAGTCAGGCAGTCCAGGACCAACTCGATAAGAATATGAAGTCAGGAAGTGGGAGAGGAAGCGAAAGTGTCCTGCTTTTTGGCTTCTCCCCTGTCCCACTCCCTTTTACCAGGAGGGCCATTGGGGAAAACTGGATAAAGCATGTACAACATCCATATGAATAAAGCTCTTTGTTCCAGAGAACTGCCTGCTCTTTTATTCCCCCCTTTTTCCGTATTTGTTCATTTCAAAAGATTGCTCAATGGGCCTCTTGTTCCTCCAAAATGTCCCAGGCAAATAATGCAAGCTTGTCTCGTCACACAAGTCACTAAATGAAGCCTTGTGCGTCTCCAGTGACACACTGTAAATATAAAGTGGCATTAATGAGGGATATTTTATCAAAGCCATCACAGACAAGTGCAAGTCCCTCCTGTGGCTATTCAATTTGATGCAGGGAAAGGCAACAATAGCAGGATGGCACTTTTTGTAAAGTCCCCATCCCCGGTATACAAGCCCCAACAGGCCGAGACAAGCCAAACTCAGCCCCTGGGCTTCCCAGCACCCACACAAACCCCCACCCATCAGCCAACCTCTCTAACGCTAAAAAACGTAAGAGAAGCAACACCCATGCATACACGGGTTCACGCCTCAAGAGAAGCAACACCGATGCATGCGTACACCTAAAACGTAACAGGCGTGATTTACACCGAGGAGCGAGTTTCCACAACCCCGTTTCTGCTGTGTTTCATTAACATCCATTTACTCCACACACCACAGGAGGGATGGGAGATTTTCTCCAGGGGATAGACAGATTCAGTGACAGCTGAAGACAGAACCAAGACCTAAAGCAGGATGGCCCCAGACTGCTATCCCAGCGAGCATGTAAATGAAACATGCCTAATGAAGTTAGAAGGCAACACCAACAGGTTTCTCTAACCTGACAGTGGCACCTGGAGGCCTCCAGAAAAAGCTTAACAGGAGAGGACTAAGGAAGCAAAGTCCCCCGGTGCCTGCCTAGAAGTCTCCTCCGCGTGCCCAGGACCTGGGGGCTAAGCCAACACCCCTTCCCCAAGCCATCACCCAAAAATGCAGAAAGGGAGAAACAGATTAAAGGCAGTCATCTCACCCCCTCACTACAAATCAAACCCAATTACTTTCTAATTTGAACACAATCTGATAACCGGCGTACAAACAGGGATGTACACAAGAGCAAGAAGCTGCTTCCATGGTAACTGGCAACAGAATTTTCTTGTAGCTTTGACATGCACGGTTGAGTTCCAGACCGCTCCTTTCTGAGTCCGCATACATCCCTCGCTGGGAAGGCAACTTCTCACCGCGAGATAGTTACAAATATAGTACTGTCGCTACTACCCGGTGCCGTCAATGAGCAGGCTTGACGGAGGAGGCATCATCTAGACCTCCTCTGTTGCCAAGCGGCATAGCACGTCTCCCATTTTTAGTCAAAAGGCAACATCCCTGACCAGCGCTGTCCCCCCTCCCCTTTTTTGCAGCCAATACAAGTCTATTGTTGCCTCTATTATGCGCCAGTTACCGAGCCTTCACTCACGCTCACGTTTAACTGACACTGGCGCTTTTTACAATGCAGCAGTATGAGGGATCTCTTTCACGAACATTTTATTGAACCCATCCAGTCAGAGACATCACCCGAAATGAAGTTGTAACCACACCGGCAAAGGCTGAACCCAATTATCTCCTAACTCATAAATTAAGAATTCACAGAGGAAAAACACATAAACAACATCCGGAGACAAGCAGTGGCATGGAAGAAAAAACCCTCAGCTCTGGAACTGAGCTGGTGCCAGATTCCCACCCCTGTGCATCCCTGATACGTTCCCCGAGCCGAGCTCCCTTGCAAGCCTGTTTGCGGCGGGCGGGGGGGGGGGGGGTAGAAACCAACCCGGCATCCCCGAAATCCAAAGCTAGTACCCCCGACATCCCCATTTCCTACAGCGTGTCTCCTGCAGTGTTTACGTAACTGTGTGTCCTCTAGCGTGTAAACAAAAGGCACGGCCCAAGCGGTGAGGCGCCCGGTAGAGGCACGGTGGCCCCAGAGCTGCGCCCGCCGCGGCCGGGGGCTCCGCAGGTGGGGGCTGAGCTCTCGGTGTCCTCCGCCACTTGTTGCTCGCGGGTCCTGCAGCTCCCAGGCTGCAAGGAGGGGCTTTGCAGGCGCCGAGCCCTGCTGCATCCCCTCCTGCACCTCCCGCACCACCCCCCCTGCGGTCCCCGTGCCTCCCCGCCCCGCTCCCCACCCGGAGCCCGCAGCGGGCAGCCAGGGGCTGCGGGGATGCCGCGCGGCCGCGGAGCTCGGCGGTGGCGGGAAGGAGAGGCAGGGTGCAGTACCGCCAGCCTCTCGGCTGGGGAAGAGCTCCGGCTCCCTTTTGTTAGCAAAAGCAAACACTGCCCTCTTCTTTCCCGACCGCGCCAACGCGCCCGGCACACGGGCAGCCACACAGTGTGCTCCTGCCGAGTGCACGGCGTCTTCGGGGAAGGCGCCGGGCGTGCAGAGCCGCCCCTGGGCAAATTCCCAAGACAGCTCCGCACACAGGGGGCGCCCAGAGGCCCGCAGGGTGCCCGCCTGGCTGCAGAGGCCGCGAACCTCCCGCCACCACCCTGGGGCTGCCGAAAAGGAAGGGCAGTCTGTAAATCCGGCGTCCCCACTCGCGGCGGAGGACGCCGTGGGGCAAGCGGGCTGCGGGCTCCCGGCTCCTTCCCGCAGAGGCGGCGACAGCAGCCTCCCCCACCCCGCGGGGCCGGGCCTGAGGAACTTTCCCTGCCTGGAGCGGAGCCCGGGAGCCCCGCAGCCGGGCAGCGGTGGGGGGGGGGGGGGGGGGGGCCGCCGTCGGGGGGGGGGGGGGCACGGGGGGCGCGCTGTTCCGAGGACGGGGGCGGGGGTGGGGGAGAAAGGCAGAGCGCGGGGAGAGCAGGAGCGACCAGACAAGTCTGGGGATGTCCTGTGGATCGGTGAGCAATCACGCTGGAGGCGGCTGCTAGTCAGCCATAGGGGGGCTTGCGGGATAGAGATTTAGGGGGCCCGCTGGAGAGGTGGGGGCGAATGGGCAGCCCTGGGACGGGAGGACCTGCAAGTTACGGGGACAACAACGAGTTTGGGAGGGTCCGGAAGGTTGGGGGGGGTTCCCCTCCATCCATCCCCTTCTCCCATATTCTCGAGCCCTCGGGCCCCCCATTCTCACTCCACTCCTCACCCCGCGCCAAGCCGGGGAGAAAAGGTGTGGGTGCAGCCATCCCTAAGGGCTCCAATTCCCACCCAGATGGGCAAGGGAGAAGGGAATCACCGAACCCCTCTGCCCCTTCATCTCAGCCCTGAGTTTCCTCTCCACACTCCCTCCGACTCCGATTTAGGAAGTGGGGGAAGGTTGTCATGGAAACGTTTCCCCCTTCCACGGCTATGGCTACTGGGGTGCCTTAGGAGATTCAGAGGGCCAACCGGCCGGTGCCGACACCTACCTGTGGGGATCAGTGCCGCGGCGGAGAGGAGCAACAGCAGAAGCCGGAGTCGGAGCCCGGGAGGCGCCGCCGCCGCCGCCACCGCCGCCACCGCCGCCGCAAACTGGGATCCGCTCGGCAGCACAGCACTCGCCATGTCGGGCACCTGCCTCAGACTGTCGGCGGTGGCTTCCTCCGGAGCCCGAGCGGACAACTAATGAGATGCTAATGACATGCACTGGGGGCGGAGTCCGGACCGACCAATCACAGAGCCGCTAGCCCAACCCGGCTCTCGGAGGACTCGCCCCCTCCCCCACCCCGCCCCCTGGCGCTGGCGTTCGGCGGCGCGCCCGCGCCACCTAGGGGCGGGGCTAAGGGGAGGGGCGTATGCAAATATGTTTATGTTAAAATTCGTTTTCGCTTCCCCGGGATCAAGGAAAAAGTGTTCTCCTGGGCGCCTGGCTTGTGGGGGCTCGGGCTCCAGGGGGCGGATCTCGCTTCCGGGACACCTATATTAGGCATGTATATAGCAATCGCTATAACCGACCGACGACTGGAGAATCTCCCTACGAGGAGGCTCCCCTGCCCGGTACACCGAGCGCATCTGGCCTGGAAACCACACGTTGCAAATTTCCGTCACTCACCTTGCACCGAAGGAATAGATCTTCGGGAAACGGGGGCTGTTCGGGAGTGGAGAGTGAGAATGCAGGTCCCCGGATTGACAAAACAATCTGGGAGAAGTGCATGCGTGCTTTGCACGTCCGGCGGAGCGGGAGAGCCCGCTCAGCAACCTAGCGGTAGACTTGGGCATAGTTGGGAGAAAGGAGCCCGAGTCGGGCTCTGGGATTTTCGAGTCGGTATCTTTGCGGTAGATTTTCCGGAAAGGTAGATCCGGGAGGGTCGGCTCCGGCTCCCCAGCTTGCCGAAGATTTCCCTCCTTCCCTTTATATATATATGCGTATTTAATACATTTGACATATGTAACAATATATATTTACGATTACACACATCCAACAAAAAATCTTTTCTGTCAAGGCTTGGGGTGGTGGGCGGAGGCGG